ATTTTCTCCTCCCAAACGGATATGGCTTTTCTGCAAAATAAAACATTAGCAAATGGTGTACACGTTAACTGAGAGCACAACCCACTTGTAGATCTCGAGCTCGTTGCGTGTTTCTTGAATGTAGACGGCCTTTTCGGCATCGGAGAGGCGGGACCACTTGGCCGTCGTCTTCTGATGCCACTCACGGTACGTTTGCTGTGGCGTTTGCGGGGTATTCACGCGCTCACTGATGATGAAGCGCAGGAAGGCTGAGGCCGGCTTCTTGGGGCGTCCAAGTTCTTTGACCCGCTTGCGCAGTTGCCGGCGCTCTTTGGCTTCGCCAATGTCCTTCTTCAGCTGCTTGATGCCGGCACGCTGCTCGTCGGTTAGCGTAGCGTCGTACTTTGTGCGCTGCTCAAGGTAAACCTGCTGGTCCTTCTTAAACTCCACCTGTAGACGCTCCTTCAGATTGGTATCTGCATCCACCCAGCTCTTTGCCAGTTGACGAACCACCTCAATGGTGGTTATGGTCGGATTGGTAGCTATCAGCTTTGGTCGCATCTCACGCATGAATCGGAAATAGGGGGTCAGCGGCTTCTTGGGGCGGGGAGGAAGCCCCACTTGCTCCTCGACTGTCTTTGACTGTTGAACGGGACTGTTGCTGATGTTGGCAACGGCTAGGGGTCTGTTGGCGCAGGTTGTTGTGGGTGTAAATTGTTTGTCGATTTGAATAGGAACTGCAGATGAGTCTTGATTTTTGGCTACAACTTGCCTGACTTTGTTGATTAGCGACCCGATGATGGACCCCCGCGACAGTAGCGTTGTTGTAAATATCATTTTTAGGATTTGTTCTCCTGCTGTGGCGCTTTGAACAGACTTCTGTAGCTTCTTTACTTTGTACTACAGATATTGTTGTCGACTGAAAAGGCACAGAAAACTTGTTGCTTTTGTTGTTAATAAGATTTACGTAAAAAATGCGGCATTTGATGGATGTAGAGCTGCCACCTTGTCGTTAGTTTTACAGTAAACATCGCCTCGACTTACAGCGATAGCTTCGATATATTCACGAAGCTGCAGAGTTGCCATGTTACAGCTGTTGCTGCCTGCAGTTAACCTGAAATTTATTATTGGCGAGACTTTATTGTTTAAAAAACCCAGGATAAACGGCCTACTCAAGATGACCAACAATGATGCAGCAGTAGAAGCTCCTAGTTCGAGTCGTGCTAGCTCCAGTAAACAGCAGCCCAAGTTGGAAATCACCGAGAAAGTGCGCGTCCTTTGCCTTCACGGATACCGCCAAGACGGGGATGCGTTCAAAAACAAATTAGGATCATTCCGAAAATTTACTTCAAAATATGCCGAATTTGTGTTCATCTCTGCGCCGCACATTGCAGCACCGCTAGAGTCCGCCGCCGAGCCGGTTCCAGAGCAGCGCAGTTGGTGGGCCAACAAAGATGATGGCACATTCAAGGGCACCAACAAGGGGGGACCGGCTTTTGGCTTCCAAGACAGTCTGCGCCTTGTGGAAGAGGCCTGGAAGACGCAAGGACCGTTCCAAGGACTCCTTGGGTTTTCCCAAGGGGCCTGCTTCGTGGGTTTGATTTGCGGTCTGGCCAAAAAAAAGTGTAAGTAGATCTTGATCGGACGAATTCATCAACAGTCGGATAATATCAATCGTCTACCCTTCTAGTGACCTCCATCCGGCCTGAGTTTGCTGTGCTTTCCTCGGGCTTTGTGTCCGGCAGCCTGGTGCATATGAGTGCCTACGAAGAGCCTGTCAGCATACCCACCCTCCATATCTATGGCTCAAGCGATGAAATCATACCCAAAGACATGAGCGCATTGCTGGCGTCACACTTCAAGAACGTCGAGGTTCTGGAGCACGGCGGCGGCCACTACTTTCCGGCCACGGCGCAGCAGAAGCAGACCTACATCAACTTCTTTCAAGATAGGCTGCAGGAGTACTTGGAGCATTTGGAGCTGCAGCAGAGTAGCAGTGTCTCGTTCATCGAGAGCGGGGCGGAGGACAACGACGACGATGGCGATGCCAACGATGCTGAGGTGGCCGCTGCAACGGCGGCCGCCGGCTCGGATCTGGACGATAGTGATTAGCTGATTTTGTTTCTTTCTTCGTTTTTAATAATAATTAAATCTTATTATTACAAAAATAATAATTTGATTATAAATTATAATAAAATAGTTAGGAGCCCAATAATTTTGTTGAAATATTCACCGTTTTCACTGCTTTTCTGGCTGTAGTAGGATTTAGTATTGAGGATTGCAATAGCTTTGAACTTTTTTTATGACTGTGTATTTTTTTCTTCAACAAATTCGTATAAATTCCATAAAAAAGAAACAAATAAATTGTGGGTAAAGGTTAAAGCCGAATATTTAAAATCCCATTCCAAGAGTACAATAATTTTGTATTAGAATCAGTATTGTTCCTTGCTAAAAAAACAACGAAAAAATGCATATTTAGCTATTGTGGCTGCAGATGTTGTTGGTTTGGCTGTAGTTGATGCGGTTTTCAGAGAGTAGAAATCGTAGTACAATTCGAAACATATTGCATTGCATCGAGCGCTTGACTCTTCGTGTTTTTTGTTTTTCTTCTTGTATATTTGTATGGGACAAGCGAGAGCAACAGCGACAGCGTAGACCTAGATCTAGATCTGATAGTAGTTGCCCCAGTTTGTCTGGAGACAAGTTATCCCTCGCATGCAACGGATAGCAGGGACATGCCTGTGACTGCTGCTGCTGCTGCTCATGATGGATGTTGTGTATGGTTTGGGATTCTATTTTATGCGACTGCCTCCTGTCCGTTTGAGGCTTCTTGGTTTTTCATCACTTCTGGTAAGTCGGGTGGAGCTGAGTATGGCGTCATATCCAGTGTTTCAAAGTCGCCCATATCGTTCCTAGAAAAAAGAAAAGAAACAACTTCCATCAGATCCAGCTGCTAATCAGTGTCTCAACCCATTCAATGGCTTCGGCTCGAAGGGGAGCAGGGACACGTGCACAGACAGCTGATAACCTGCTTATCAGCGATTCTCGAGCGAGCTTCCTACCTGAATGTCAAGCCCAGTTGCGCCGGCGACTGTGCCTTCGCCGTGGATACCGTCACGCCGTACTCCTGCAACGTGCTGTCATCCTCCATAATGTCGTTGTCCTGGTTGTATAACCGCTGATCGACGACTTGTACTTTTAGAATGCCTAAAAAACCAATCAAATTACTTAATAATCAATCTTTGTTTTCATGCAAACTACAACAAATGAAACAACGAACAAATCGCTGCTCTATAAATAGGAACAAACAAGAATACACCGACACACGCTCGCTCACCTTCAATCATACGTTTCAGCTCGGCAACGGTAGTGTTCTCCTTGGCATCCGTGAAAATCGTCGTCTTTTGCCTTCTGATCATGAGGAACACGTCCTGTAAGGGAGGAGAGTGGCATTAGCAAAAGGTTCGTTTCGGTCAAAGTTCAGTGATTCAACCAGCGGCAGCGACGACGACGACAGCGCGAGGCACGGTACGGCACTTTTGTATGTCACGATTATTCACTCGGCACGTCCGCGTGTGCGTGCCTGTATGTGTGAGCGTGTACATATGTATATGATGCGCCGAAAGTCGTCGTCCTGCAGCTGCTCAAGGGCCGGGGCCGGCTTTGGGGGCACGCTCACCATGTTGCCAAATGTTTGTTTTGTTAGTTGCCTTTTGTTTACTACTGCAAGTGCGAGAAGGTTACTACAACTACGTTGTTGTTGCTACTGCTGCTGTGCTGTTGTTGGCGCTGGACGATACTTCTGGTGGCGTGGGCGGCGCTTCCTTTGGCGGTGGTTCGATCGGCTGGATTTTATCTATTATGCCACCCCCTTCGCAGAGCGCTACTACTACAATTTCTTGATCCTTGTGGAGGGTTTGTAGGTCCAGTTTGTGCCAATTTTAAGACGTGCAACAGCTTTCCGCTCTTTTCCCCGCACTTGTAAGTTTTCGTTTTTACGATTTTGTCAGGCCTATTCTGTTCAGTGACCGACCCTCAGAAATATACCGAAACTACGTCACATATTTCAAAATATACCGTAAATATACTGACGAATTATTTGTATTCAAGTTGCATCATATTCCTCGTTTTGGATATTCTGTGGAATATTACATTACAATTTCTACAAGACTGGTTAACTTTAAATTCTCATCTCTACTTGTTTGTTTATAATGTATGGGTTAAGCCAAACCGGTCAACAAAAATTTCCACTAAACTTATTTCTTTACATGGTAGCTACACGCTAACTACACATGTGCTACATACTAACTACATGTTCATGTAATTACCAAAGGCGACACCTGCAGGGGATATGTGTACGTTTCAAAAATGTTTGCCCGTTTTTCTTCCATATAAGCCCCATGGAAGCGCCAGTGTATAAAACCTCCGTTATCCACTTTTTGACACGCCTTTATTCCCGACATTTTTGAACAAATTGAGTTCGATCCGATTCAGTACTCCATGTGGACTGGGACAAGGCTCTAAGTGGCATTTCTACACGGTTTCTACATTGGTGAATTCGTCTAGAGGGTGAGTCCATAACGCGTCTTAAAAAATACTGGAAAATACTAGAAGATACTATGAAAAGTATAAAATTTGCAAGGTGTGTGAGCTAGACGTGGTGGCAAGAAAATCAGTGTGACCGCGGATTTATCGTTAAAATATACCGCCCGACCCTCAGAAATATAGCGAAATATAAATTCTCATTTCAAAATATACCGTACATATACCGATGAAAAAACGAACAGTCCAGTTTAACGACTTGCGGTAAATGCCGAAAAATATTACTGTTTATAATGATTGGAAACCGTATTCCTCGATTTTTGTATTCGATTTGATATTACTACTAATACCTAAACCCATAACACTACTAATTAATCAGTTTTCTGTTAAAATACATTTAATTTCGTATTGCTGTAGCCCTGGTTCACCGCACAAAAGGGGCTAAAAGATACCTAACCAACTGTCAGTGTCACTTTTTTCCCCGTCTGCTTGTTGCCACGAAATGGTTTTGCTGGACAATTCGAACGTAAATAAATGAAAGATACTTGAAATTCAGACGAAATAACTAACGAAACTTGCTTACAGTTCATACTCCGCTTGGAGAAGATTGCCAATGCGGCCAAGAAAGATTCTTCTTTCACAGTAACATTCAAACGCTGTAAGTATCGCACACTTGCTGATTCCATTCCACACTTGCATTCGAATTAGTAATAACTTCCCATTATCACTTCCAGACGATGGCAACAACAAACCCGTGCCTAGAGCTGGAAGACCACCGTTACCCAAGCCAGATGTCTACATGTGCCTGGTGCGAGCCCAGTGCAAGTCGCAAAAGGTAAGTGTACGCCAAAGTCCTTACAATATTAGCGTTAATTGGCAATTTTTCGACAGATTTCCACAGTTGTGCGCCAGGAGGATGTACCCACCATGATGGGAATGTACTCGCAGTTCATGAAGAGCAAAATGGACGGCTTGAAACGTGTAAAGAAAGTGAAGAGCAAGGCCAAAGCGACCAAGGGATAGTCGGAGGGCTTGAGAAATTCGGGGTTTAGGTACAAATATTATTTGCCTGTTTGCCAGGTTATTCGTTTTAAATGCATTTGCAACCGTATGTGTATTTGTGCGCTTGTTATTGAACTATTATAATACGATGGAACGAGGGTAGAGATCTCTTTGGACGCACAAATCTAGCAGCCACTTGGGCAATCTGTGGTTCCTTAGCCCGTAAATGTGCTTTGGTCTTATCAGATCCACGAAGGCATACAGATCTTGGATGAATTCTTTATCCCCTAGCAGCGCGTCGTCAATGTACACTATATCAATGCCTTCGCCAAGGGCACGATGAACAGATGCACAGGCTTTGGGCAGAAAATCCAAATATCCAGACAATTCATCTACAATCAGCGTTCTCGTGTGTCCATCTGTAATTAAAGTCTGCAATGGTTACTGGAAAGCCGTAATTTACAGGATAGACTCACTCTCTATGCAGTACATGGTCATGTTCATCCCGTCTTTGCTTTTTCCTACTGGTATCAGCGTCAAAGTGATCTTCGTTTGATCGAAGGTCACTTCAGTCGGTTTGTTGGGACTTATGACTTGACGAGTGCAGTATTTGTAGACTTCTTTACAATTGTCCTGCGATCGCAGCCGAAGCATATGCTCCTCGGAGCCAATGATGCATGCGCACCATTCGGTGGGCACAACATGCTCTTTGAAGGCGGCTGACGTCAAGACAAGCGCTCCGTTGTGCTAAAAAACCAAGATTGGGAATATATATGATTGATGATCGGCATTACTTACCTGTTCGAAGTGTCCATACTTTTTTTGGGCATCTAAAATCAGCGGCTGACCAAGATCATTCAAAAACATATTGATGCAGTGTGACCGTGGATTTATCTTTAAACTATACGGTCCGGCCCCCGGAAATATACCAAAATATACCGTCTCATTTAAAAAATATACCGTAAAAATACTAACGAAGTCAAGTTCTATTATACATATTCCTAAATTTTTATATTCCGTCAAATATTACTAGCTATATAGAGCTCTCAGCCATGCCCATATAATTTTATACAGTTAATGAACCTATTTTCTAATTGACTGGTTTATTTTAAGCACTTGCTTTTATTGGATTTCTATATAACAATGGAAATGAAATTTAATAGATTGATGAGATCGATAAAATATACCGACACTAAGAAATATAACGATGAAAAAGCAATCTTAGGCCTCTTAACCCCCTTTATTTCAACAGGTGAACAAATTGTTTGTAAATATTTGTAGATCCATTATAGCCTTTCTCTTTACTTACAAAAAACTCAAGATATTCCTCGATTTTTATATTCGGCTTAATATTCCTTTCACCTGACCATCGACAAGTAGGGTTACTAGACTCTAGATAATTCTCGTTTTTGTTACGTTTAAGAAATATACATGCTTTCCACTTTCTTTTTTATTTATACTCAGCTAAACTCAGTGCCATACAGCCACAAATCCAATACGGATATCGATAACAGACATGGTATAGTTATCGAATTTGAACTTTAGATTTCAATTCAAAGATAAAACAAAGTTTTGATTTGTGTTTAGTAGCATTTATCTTTATAAGTATACGGGTTTCTTTAAACTGTTCTTCTCCGTTAAACATACATACATATACTGTTTTTCTCTATTATCTATCACAATGAATATTTGTGTACGCGTGTTTAAATGTGTGTCTTTGTCATAGAATTTGGATCACGTTACATATTGGGAACAATCAAATTGACTTATGCTAACAATAAACTCGTTTACGAACAACTTTATACGCATATGTAATGTATAAATTTTTCCATTTTGCGGTTGGAACAAAGACAGTCTTGTACAATATCCGAAAGGATTGTTCTCGAACCGGCTACACATCCGATATTGCGTTTGTAATTATTACTCGACATTTGGCCATTAATGAGCAAGTGTGTGTGTGTGTGTGCGTAAATGTGGACAAAGATGAGGGAGGGAAGGGATACTTATATAGGAAAGGAATGAAAACATAAAGAAAGACTCCTTCAATCAATAGAATAAATGTACATATAGATTCCACCAGAAAACACCCGAGAGCGCGGCGTGCTGGTACAATAAGAAAATGACTAAACGCACAAGAACGTGCACATCATAGATATACATAACAAAAAATATATAACTTAAGAGTAGAAATTAAATTAATTGATTAATCTGTATAGGTAACAATATATTCCAACCTAACTCTTCCGACGGGGTTCAGTTGAAAGTGTTGTAGCGCAGATTGCTATCCACATCGCCGACATTGCCGCCAAAGCCGCCCGCCTGCGAATTGGTTGGCTCGTCGGCCATGAGATCTGTACTGGACTGCGAGTGGCGCCGTGGGCCCGGCCATGCCCAAACATCGCGTATGCTGTCGATGAGACGCTGCGAGAACGTCTTGTACTCCATGTCCACCGACTGCGTGTCCCCGAAATTGAAGTCAGCGACTTCCACGGTGAAACTGTGCCCCAAAATACATTATATAGAATCTCTTTTGCCTTGCAAAGAGGTAAAAACTCACCGATTCCGGCTCTGTATGTAGTAGGCCACGCCAAAGACCACGAGTATGACGGCCATCAGAGTACAGGTAACAGGCACAACCACTACGGAAAGCTGCGACTGCTTCTGGGCTGCAAACACAACGAGTAGAAAGCGTCAACCAAGCGTCAAAGGAGTAGTGAAGAAAGAGAGATCTATACACACCTTCGTACATGTTGATGGTGACCTGGTTGACCGTCTGCGAGACCTCGTTGCGTATGACAAACAATATGGTTTTACTTTCGGAGAAGTAACGCTTGTAGCTAAACGCACACTTGTTGTACACATCATAGATGGTGCATGTCTCATTGCCTGTGGCATTATAGGGTGCTGCAAAGGCACAAAGGTAGGGTTTCTTTTGTTGCTTCACTGGGGCGAGGTGTCCACTTACCATTGTAGACCTTCACGCACACTTCGAATGGCGGCGACCCCTTGCAGCTGACGTCTAGGCTAAGCATTTCCCAGTGCTGCAGCCAGTTCTTGCCGGTGGTACCGAAGCTGACAACCGGATCTGGAGCATGGAAATAAATAGCATGAAATGGAATTACCCAAATGGGACTATGCTAAACTCACCCTTGGACACAATGCGATGCTGGAAGTACCCATAGATCTTACGCGAATCCTGCGCTATGATCTTTCTGTCCACGCAATTGTATGGCGGCTCCACGCCAGGCACCACAGTGAGATGGGAAACCCTTCGCACGCCCAGAGGATTGACCAGAGCAACCGATACGTTCAAAGAGGAATCTGCGTTCTGCTGTTGCTCCTTCAGGGCACTGGTTAAGTTCAGGCCAAGAATGGCGGCATTGGCGTGCATAGCTTGAATTAAGTCGCGTTTGGAGCGCGTGGGCGGCTTGGGAGTGGTACTGGTTGTGGTCGTCGTGGCTGGGGTTGTTGTGCTCGATGTGGATGTGGTGGGTGCAGGTGTTGTGCTAGTTGTCGTCGTCGTACTGGTCGTCGTCGTTGTCGTAGTCGTGGTCGTGGTAGTAGTAGTGGTCGTGGAGGGCGTGGGCTCGGGCGGCCAGTCCAGCGACGCAACGACCAGAACCTCGATATCATAATATTGCTCTGCCTTCTGATATGTGGCCAGATAGTCCAAGGCACTCGACATGCCTAGATATGTGCAATTTTGAAACCAGTACGTCTGAATGTGATAGCCGTTCTCCCGCAGAAACTCTATGTCGGCCGGCCACAGCGATATACTATGATTCACTGCGCCTTGGGTGGAAACAAAGTCGTGCGGCCGCGACGCATTGCCCTGAATGAGCTGCAGCCTGCCGCCCAGCGTGTCATCCAACATAATGCTGGACTTGTTCTCCGCCACCGTTATCCAAAACAGATAGGACTTATCAACCCTCACTTCCACGACCCGCTCACCCGGCTGCATGTGATCCTTGGTGTACTCCAATGTCCAGTTGCTAACGGCTTGGGTTGTCTCAATCACCTGCAGCAAACGGATATACAATAAAATAATATAATAGTTGTTTCGCTTTTAAAATGCAAATTAATCAACAATAGGGGGAAAAACGGACCGCTTATAGAACAGCGTACCAGGCACGATCGGAAAAGCTGTCGCGCTTAAATAAAATTAGCATTAAATCCAATGACGCCATATCAATTGAAGCGAAGCGAAGCCATGCTTCGCTTCTATTCTAAAATTGGGCCCCGGGGAAAATTGTATGACTATTAGCTTTTAATCCAACCTAAGGCCTGGGCATATGTCTACTTTCTTTCGGGCAGGTGAAATGCCTGAACGTGTTCTCTTTCGTGGCTTAATCAGGCATAAATGGGCGTACGCCCCACCAGCACACCAACACACACGACCAACAGACGCGTTTGCATTTTGCAATTAAAATGAATTATTAGTCATGCCAACTGGGACGGGATTTCGTCAGCGGCCGTTACCTTTCGATGTCCCGCATTGTCCTTCCAAACGAACTTGTAGGTGCCGTCGGGGGCGGGTTTGTTGCCGTCGAAGAGCGTGGCAGTCACGTTCACCGTGGATCCAATGAGCGCCTGGTCGGGTGCATTTATTAGAACTATGAAACATGTAACTGCAATCGGATAATATCATTAGTTTTATTATTGATTATTGATTCCAGGCCATGCATCCATACCTGTTTCCACAAAAGCGTAGAAAATCAACGTCGCCGTCAGTGTGTGGACTGTGCGAGTCATTTTCGCAATGTCGTATTGTCCCCCGACCCGCAGATGCTTAATGTGGAAAATCACTTGTGCTGGTGCTCCCTTGCTACCGCCCCTTCGACTATCGTAACAAACAAAAAAAAATCAAAAACAAACACAAAGAGGGAGGGTACGACGTTTTTGCACAACGTTTACACCCACTTTTATAGCTTATTCTACACGTTGAACACGGTTAATTGCTTTAGATTTCGAGGCAAAGCTGCTTTCTACTAGCTGTGCAGCATTTGCAATAGCAGTTCTATTGCGTTTTTAATTTGTTCTAAAAAATTTCTGCAGGCTGCAGTGGAAATGAATCGCAAATAGCAGTTTGCTGTCTGGCAACTCTGCGCAGCAGGGTTGCTCTTTTGGAGAGGAAAATTTATCGAGATGGCAACACTGATTAGTGCAATTTAAAATAACGATCAGTCGTGTTTTTTTTTAGTTATGTTTAAAATACTAATTTTCGTTTTATTCGTTAGTTGTAAATAATCATATATGCCTGCGTACATATCTGTTGGTGTGTGTGTGTATATGTTAATATTTGAAGTAAACTTAATAGTACAAATGAAATACAACGAGATGAAAAAGCAATAATTACTTTGGGATAAGCAGACCGCACAAAATACTACTCAATACATTGCTTAGAGCAGACGACGACGACGACGGTTCGTCCGCCCGCTTACTTCTTCTTGCTTTTGCCCAGCGTAAGCGTGTGGTGGGCCGAGGCCAACTGCTGCTTGCGCCGCTGAAAGTCAAGATAGTCCTCCTCGAGAGCCTTCCGCGACTCCTCCAGCTTTCGCTTCTCCTCGGCATGATCGCGCTTCAACTTCTCGAACTTGGCATGCAAGTCCTTCTCGCTCTCCTTCAGCTCGGCCTCCTTCTCCTTGACCCGCTGCACAAACATCTGCCGTACCTCCTCCTCTTTGGACTGCAGCTCGGCCAAATGATTCGAGCGCTTTGCCTCGAACGTCTGCTGGAACGAGATCGGCTTGTTCTCGCTATCCACATCGCTGAAGCCCATCTGCTCCAGGCGCTTCTGCCTGTACAGCTCGTAGTGTCGCGTGTGGGTCTTCTCCCGCATATCCTCCATGTTTGTGCGAATGAGCATCTCCCGCAGCTTGACAAAATCGCAGTGGGTCTCGTTCTCCACCTGCACCGTGCCCCAGGGATACTGGCGGGCACGTATCAACTTGTTGCCCACCTTGATGAACTCTGTGCTGCCCACGACGGCAAAGGGAATGTGTGAATTCATGCTGGTGTTGGTCTCGGCCACGGTCTCGTCATCGGTGGGAAACTGATAAATGTGCACCCCATTGGTGTTCAGCTCCTGGATGATCTTCGCCTTGAATCGCTGCAGTTCCACCTTGGAAATGGTGTCGGCCTTTGCAATGACCGGTATAATGTTCACCTTGCTGTCCAGCTTCTTCATGCACACCAAGTCCAGCGACTTGAGGCCATGGCCCGTCGGACAAATGAAGTAGAGGCATATATGGATGCGACTGTCGTGGCATGTGACCAGCGAACGTTTGATTTTTAGCTCCTCCTGCAGATAGTTCTCGAACTGGGCATCGATGTAGTCGACGACCGCCTTGAACGAATCGTCTTTGTTGATCTGATCCCCATAGCCCACGGTATCGCAAATTGTCAGCTTGAGCCGCACATTGCTCTCCTGCAGCTCGTACGTGTGGGCCTTCAACTTAACGCTGGGCAGGGTGTGGGGGCTTGGCGTCGACTCAAAGCTCGTGTTAAAGAGCGTGTCCATCAGTGTGGATTTGCCAAGACCAGTCTCGCCTGCGTTGATAGAAAACGGAAATGGAAAGGGGGAAAAATTTGTATCAAAATCGTGCCATAAGTGAGCCTCAATTGGGCACTAGACTGCCATGCCCGGCATTGGTGTCAGGGTGAAATCTGTAGAAAGCAGCATTGAAAATCGATTGGATTGGTGGTAGGCAGGCCCTCTGCATGTTAATCATTTGAAGGCGTCCGTCTGCGCCAATTCCAATTGTTTAAAAGCGTACACATGCACGAGTATGTATGCATTTACATATGTACGTGAGTCATATCATACAATATTTGGATCCCTGTCCAATGCACTCCACTCCCAGCTCCACTTCAAACATACATACACACACACATGCATGCATGTGTACACAAGTCCGTCTTCGTTGATTCACTCTGTGCCGCCGCATACACACACACCAATAGTATAGTGCATTCGTATATACACACCTATACACATGACGTTGAAAACGAATCCGTTCTGAACGCTCTTGTTGACCAATTGATCAGGCAGGCTATCGAATCCCACATGGCCTGATTGCTTCAGAGTGCGTAGATGCATCTCCTTTTTATTGACGAAATCCACTTCAGCAGTCATTTTGCAACAATTCAACACAGAAAAACCGAACGACCAGACCAAATATATCGCGCAAAAGGCGTCGGCCAGGGACCCTCAGAATGTACCGAAATATATCGTCATATTTTGAAAATATACCGTAAATATACCGATGAAAAGACGAACTTAGCCCACTTACGCCCCCTCTATTTAAGCAATGTTACTGATTGTAAATTTTTCTTTTAGATCCATGCCACCTTTCTTTCACGTCAAGTCGAAAATTCATTTATTAATCGGATAAAATGATGTGGGCAGGGCTGAGGCTTATATTCGTCGGAATATCAAAAACAAGGAATTTGTATGAGTATATTTACGGTATATTTTGAAGATGAGACGGTATATTTCGGTAAATCCACGGTCACACTGCACGCAAATCGAAAGTTCACGTCGACAAGTTAAATTTTTTTACCCACTGGCCTCTTTTCTGTAAATAAACATGTCGAAGGACGCGAATCCAAAGGAGGCTGTGATTAAGGCAGCCTACGCCGATGTGCACAAGTTTGGCAACAATCGCGAGTTCGACAAGGCCGTCAAGGCTGTGAATCGCAGTAAGTTTTCTTTTTGTTTGCAACGTGTTCGTTCCTATTGGTAATCTCTCGTTCGCCCTCCCGAAAGTCCTGGGTGTGGCCCCAGATGACCCCACGGCGCTCCATTGCAAGGTGGTATGCCTGCTGCAGCTGTCGAAGTTCGAGGAGGCGTACAAGTTTATTGAGAAGAACCGTCTGTCGGCGCTGGTGTTCGAGAAGTCCTACTGCGAGTACCGCCTGAACAAGCAGGCGCAGGCACTGAAGACGATTGACGATGCTGCTGGGGCTCAGCCGCTGCCGCCGAACCTCAAGGAGCTGCGCACGCAGATTTTGTATCGCCTTGAGCGCTATGATGAGTGCCTGGAGTCCTACAAGGACATCATTAAGAACACCAGCGATGAGTACGAGGACGAGCGCCGCACCAACCTCAGTGCGGTGGGAGCCAACTTGGCCTTGGACAACAGCAAGGACATACCCGAGGTGCCGGAAGACACATACGAGCAGTACTTTAACAGCGCCTGCATCCACTCCAATCGCCAGAAGTTTGCAGATGCGGAGCGCAAGCTGCGCACCAGTGAAAAGCTGTGCCGCGAGTTCCTTGAGGAGGAGGGCGCCTCGGAGGAGGAGATCCTCGAGGAAGTGGATGTTATACGCGTCCAGCTGGCCTACTGCCTGCAGCTGCAGGGCAAGATCAAGGAGGCCAGCACCATTTACGCCGAGTGTCTGCGCCACAAGCCCAAGGACGCGGCCCTGGTCGCGGTGGCCAGCAACAATTCCGTGGTCATCAACAAGGATCAGAATGTGTTCGACTCGAAGAAGAAGATACGCGCCGCCATGGCCGAGGCCTGCGATGCGAAGCTCACGTCCCGCCAGAAGCAGGTGATTGCTCTGAACAACTGCCTGCTGGCCCTCTACACCAATGCCAGCGATCAGGTGCATCAGCTCAGCCAGAAGCTGGCCCAGACCTATCCCAACGTGGAGTTCGAGGCGCTGCTTATCCGCTGCACCCAACTGGGCAAGGACAAGAAGCACAAGGAGGCAATCGAGCAGCTACAGAAGTTTGCGGCCGCCCATCCATCCCACGAGTTTGTCAGCAAGTTTGCCATCATTCAGTTGCAGCTGCTTCAGGGCAATCGTCGGGATGCCATTGAGACGCTGCTGTCGCTGGGCGAGGCCAAGTACAAGCCCGGCATTGTGTCCGCTTTGGTCTCCCTCTATCTGGGCACGGACAACAAGACGGCCGCCTCGGCCCTGCTCAAGTCCGCCGTGGACTGGTACAAGAAGAACAATGTCAGCAGCGGGGACCTGTCGGATATGTGGCGTCAGGCTGCAGAGTTCCATTTGCGTGGCGGTGCTTCGGAGACTGCGGCCAGCTCGCTGGAGGAGCTGCTGAAGCTCAATCCCAATGACATGAAGGTGCTGGCCCAGTTGGTCATCGCCTACGCGCAGTTCAATCCCAAGCGGGCTCTCGAAATAAGTCGGAAGCTGCCCAAGCTGGAAACATTGACAACGGCCTCCGAAATCGATGCCCTGGAGGCGGCCAACTGGGTGATGTCCGCCAAGGCGGCCAAGAAGTCGGCCAACTCCAAGATCGAACCGTCGCCCACCACTCCCGGGGATAAGAAGAAGAGCCACAATCGGAAGCGCAAGGGCAAGCTGCCCAAGAACTACAATGCCGAGGTGGCCCCGGATTCGGAGAGATGGCTGCCAAAGTATGAGCGTACTGGCTTCCGGAAGAAGCGTGGCGGTGCCCGCGGCAAGGACATCATCAAGGGCTCTCAGGGCATGGCTTCGGGAGCAGCGGATCAATAGTGAGTAGAGTTTTTGGAGATCGTTCGAGTTCGAGTGTTTCTAATTGTTATCTCCTTCTCGTTTTCTTTCAGCGACATGTCGAACCGCGTGAATATAACCAAGAATTCCCCTGTGACGCCCGTCTTTCAGGAGACTACCCCTGGGCCCAGGCAACAGCATCGCAAGGGTGGCCACAAAAAGAAGAAGGGCGGTCGCTTCTAAGCTAGAGAAATGCATTTTATTCAAACACTAATTAAACGAAACTGGTTTACATAACCCTAAGGCTGATTATTCATCGTTGTCGTCCTCTGGCTTGCTGGACTTTCCGCCCGCCGGACCCGACGGCGGCGGTGGTTCATCCTTACGCGTGTCATACGAGTGGTAGTGCAGTGTGCCTATCCAGTCGAGCATGTTGCGTTGCTCGGCTTCTGTTTTGTAAATTTGACTAAAGATCTGACTCTCAACAAACGCCTGAACCTGCGTCTCCTGCGCCTCCCACGTCAGCGGATTGTGTATGCCATCCTTGCCATAGCGTTCGTTATAGCGCTCGTAGTGTACTGTGTCCAGCACCAGGCCCAGCCCAGGAGCCATGGGCAGATCCAGGCGTTCCTCGGTCAGCGCCCTCTCCAGCGTGATGGCCGTCGTATTGCCCCGAACAATGGCAATGGCCAGGCCTACCATTTTCCTGATTTGATGCAACATGAAGCTCTGCCCTTTGACCTTTAGCGTGACGAACTCCACGCCCTGTGGACTCTGGAAGGGCTCGCTGCTGGTAAAGGCCATGATGAAGCGCTTGGCCGAGGGATCCAAAAAGTTTCTACAGGAAAAAAATACATCAATTTGTTGTTAATGTGTTTAAATGGTTTACAGCCCGGACTAACTTTTTGCTGGTGAAATTGTGAAAGTTTTTCGTGCCTTCATAGAGCTTCAGCGTCTCCTTAACCCTATCGAGCAGCTCAGGGGTAATACGAAACGTATCCTGCTCGCTCTCCGCCTCGCAGGAGGCAAAGGCCACGGTGGGCAATGTGTACGTGTAGGTTCGAGCATTACACTGGTCCTTGGCGTTAAAGCCCTTGGTGACGCGCTCCACGCCAAACAAACGGATCTGCTCAGGTAGATCGGCGTTGAAGGCCTCCAAGTCTAGCTCCTCAGCTGGAGAAAAGAAGGATATGGTTAGTGTTTATCCCACTGTTAAGACAAGCCCTTCTTTCACATACGCAGCTTCACGGAGCAGATCTGACGAGCAGCCGAAACACCTTTGTCGGTGCGGGCGGCACGCTGAAAGCAGGCAATCTGCACCTGATCGAAACTGTCCTCCGTTATCCATTTGTGCTTCAGCATGGCCTTGAACAGCTCCTCCTCGATGGTCTGCATGCCGGGATTGCGCTGCATCCCATAATAGTTGGCACCGCAGTAGCTTAAGAGAATGGCGCTCTTCTTGCGCTTGATGCGATCGGCGGGATCGAAGGGAGCGCGTTTGTTGCCGTTTGCCGCAACTTCATCGTCTTGCGTCTTCCAGTCCACCCACTTCTTGCGCTTCAAATTCCTTTTGATGCGGTTCGTATCCTTCACGGCCTCATCCTCAACAGCTTTGGCTGCCTTTCTGGCGGCATTATCCAGCTCCAGCTTGTCCAGGGCCTCTGACATGGCGGCAGCGAAAGATTTGTAGCGGTGGCAATGTTTGCTTTCAGTCAGCAACAGTGTTTTCAGGCGAACTGTGGGTGGATAAGGCTTTGATGAAGGGTTTGCCTATTTCAATATTTAATAATAATTAACCTGCCTTCGTGTAGCTGCTCAATATATGGCTAAACAACATTAAATTAAGAGAGCGCTGAATCTGCAGTGGGGCACCAAAAAAAACACCCGCACGTGTATGGTTCTTCTTCTTCTTTTTACGAGAACAGCTGTTGCATCAAAAAATCATGCATTAGTTCTGATGAACAACTAAGTTTGCACATGTTTAATCAGCATAAAAACAATTATTTACTGGCTAAATTATCCCGTTAATCTTAGTTAATTAATATATTTAAATATTTACCACCAGTGTGACCGCTTGTTCAGCAGCCTTGAATATCGACGATCCGGCAACGCCGACATGAATTAATTGAATCCAAAATGGCTGAAATTTTTTGTACAGAAGAAGCGTCGAAGGAGAGCAAACGCCGTGAGACCCGTGTGTTTTCAAAGCAATTTATGGTAATAAAGCCAGGCACAAATTGATTCGTCTAACAAATAAACAATTGCATCCCCCACAAAACAAACACAAACAAAATGCCGATGCTTAGCAGTGTGTGAGTGCACGACGAGAAATTGAGAAGTTAAGTGGACGTATAAAATGAAAGTTGTAGTTGTCGCTCCGTGAGAAGATTGGTGCGAAGCGCAGAGAGAAAATTTTTTTGCAAAGCAAGCGAGCGTCAAATCGAAGTCGAAGGTGAAATGAAAATGTATTAGCATTCAAATGAAAAGCCAACTAAGATGCCATTAGCCACTGTGACACAGGCAAAACGATAACAAATTCTAAGCGAAAGCGAAACCAATTCTGTAAAAAACGTAAATTGGCGTTGTTTCTGTGGCTGCGCTGCCTCAATTACCGCCCGCCCGCGCGCCCGCCAGCCCGTCAGCCCGTCCCGTTACTTTCGTAGGTCGCGCGCCCGCGTTTGTGTGTGTGTGTTTGAGTGTGTGTGTGTATGCATCGGAATGGATTAAGGAAATTCTCAACACAAAAACCAATTTGTAATCCTGCAGCGCAAAAAATGTTCCACAAGGGCAGCTGCTGCTGGTGAGAGACCCCGTCTATAAGCAAGTGAGCTATAATTAGCCTCTACGGCCGCCCACATCTACCAACCACACCCACGCGGACACCATAACAGAAGAGACATACCCCCAAAAATGGATTTGGACTTGGATCATCTTAAGAACGACTTTCTGCCGCTCATCGGCGGCATCAAACAGGAGCTATTGGACACCGGGCCATCGGATGGCATGCCGCAGATGAATATGCAGAGCACTGCAACGGCCAGCAGCGGCGCTGCCACCACATCCACATCCTCGTCCAGCACATCCTCCATGGGGAATCCCTGCGACAGCGCCGAGAAGCGGGTAAGAGAGGGTCTTGCAATTAGCATATTGAGGTTAATTTCAACCTGGAAGCAATCGCACGTGCTCAGCTCAGCAGTGATAAGAGCCGGTCTGGAATACACATTATCCCCATTACCTGTGCATGTATTTGTAGTTGGGTAAACAGTTTAGGCTCTGGCCTGATGCCGCTGCTGGCTTATCAATCGTTTTTTCGCTCTCGTCTCGTGCAAAATACAATTTTGTTATCTTTTTCCCATGCCAATGCAAACAAACAAATGTCGAATGTGTTTCACTTTCGTGTGCGAGTCTCGTGCCGCTTCACGTTGCCCGGTTTCTGGTTTCCAGTTTCCAGATCCGAAGTCATCCAAACATACACTCGCAATGCAACCTCACTCGCTCACACACACACACACTACGTGTGTCTTTCCTGAAGAGCTTTTGCCCGTCTGTCCTCCTCCTCTCAGTGTTGTCTGTTTTTTTTGAGAATAAACAAAAATGTTATTTTAGCGGAAAAAGGAAAAACAAGCTAATGGCAAACGAATGTTGCAATAAATGAGCGGGAAGAGCTGTCGACGATTTCTATTGCTAAGGGAAAGAAATCCCATTGGGTTTATATATGTATTCCTTTGAAAGGGCCACACGTTTAGTGATCGGTAGATGGCGGCAAAGAACCAATAGAGCCAGCTGATCCCTACAAATGCTCAGCGATGCGTGAGGTATTCGAGCAATTAAAATCTCAAAAAATGAGAAAATATAAATATGTGTGGCTATTAATGCTGATACAAGATCGTTTAAAAGAAAAGGGCGAAAAGCCCAGCTAGCTGTTCCATTGCCCGACACGGGCTAAAAAGTGTCTGTTGGCGGGAAAAAGGCGAAATTGGCAACACTGTCTTCATCTATCTCCCTCTCCATCGATATCAGCTGCAGCTGCTTCGCTTTACCTGTATCAGAAGTTGTGTGTGTGTGTGTGTGGGGAGAGAGAGTGTGCGTGTGTTTGTGTGCTCTTGTTGTTGTTTGCTCTCTCTGGTCGTCACGCTTGAGCGCCGCTCCACGGAACGTGAGGCTCTTCTAAATATTCAGATTCCGACAGACATGTTCCGAGTGCCGCCTTCCTTCTTAGTTTTTATTTTCCTGTAGCGTAGCTCGTGCACTGCACTGTGCAAATAAATGTTTGCCTCGAGTTTAGTTTTTGGAGTAGGCACGGACACACACACACACAGGCACACAGACAGCTGCATAGCAAGGCAGGCACTGGGAATGACATGCACTCATTCAGTCCGTCTGTCAATCATGCATACGATTGTGTTTACTGTAGCCGGTGGGGCACCACTTCAGGAAAGCCCCCCCCCCAGGGCCCCCGGAGATCTACCCCTCAACAAGTTATTGGGCCATAGCCTACAATATCTATCCATCTCCCTCTGCAGTGCTCCGTGTATCACTTAATGCCCATATTTCGGAAGATGAGAGGATGACAATGAATGGTTCGAAACGCATTTAAGTGGAAAGTACATAAATTACTGCGGAAAGGTGTCGAAAATGACAAGGGGACACACCGACACAGTGATACAGAAATGGCTGACCATTGCAAAATGGCGTTCCATTTACAGTTGCGAAATGCACGCAGTTGTTGTGGGTAATCAAAAATTCAGGGATGGAAGAGCGCGGATTACTCGCAGAATTGTTGCGCCTTCAGCAGGGACGGGGAGGGTTGGGGAAGGCTAACGAGCGAAGCTTAAACCAGAGACAACAACAAACCAGAGCCATCAGCTCTCTACCTATTTCCAAGATGGCGTCGCGAAGTCATTAAAAGTGACAGCTGTCCGAGAAGGGAGGAGCAGAGTCTGCGGCTGTAATACCATATGTCGTGGCAGATCATGGCATTCGAACAACCCTCGACAAGGCCGCATACTCGTCTGTATCTCCTTACATATGGTGTACATAACATACATACATACATACATATGTACATACATGCATATATGATGTATGGGAGACATGCATGCGACAGGTGGCAATTAAATTATTTGACACCACAATAAATGGGTAAAAGCCAAAAAAAAAAAAAAAACTGAAGAGGGGCGGCCATTTTGTTTTGCTGACTGTTTCGTTGTTGTTGTTGTTGTTGTTGTTGTTCCTACGAAACGTAAAATGAATTCCTAGAATTTGCTTTTAATGATGTACAATTAACTCTAATTTGATGAGAATATGCAAGCAAAGCAAAAGTGTTGGAATTGCCAGACAGCCGACGACCGACGACCGACGCCGAAGTCCACCGGAATAGCAGCACCAAAAAAATTCAAAAGAATTACGTTTCTAATTAGCTTGATTGCCCCTGCAATCTTGCCTGGAGAGATCTCTTGGAAAATGCTTGTGAAAACACTTTCCACACGCGGGCGGGCGTCGGGTGCTACCTGAGACTCCGCTTAGCCGCCACTCTGCCACTCCGCCACCTGTCGTCGTCGTCTGACTCTGGCTCTCCCGTTGCCCGGGTCAGCGTTCCTCTGAGGGATACACATTTTAATTGCTTTTCCGGGGAGGGAACGGACTGGACGACGTCCAGTGCGTAATTAAAGTTGACTGCGACTTCGCCGGTGAGGGGAGGGGAGGGGATCAGTGGGGCAACGGAAGGGAGACAGACGAACCATACCGTGTCTGTGCGTCTGTGCTTTCTCTATCACACTCCTGTCCCTCTGCCGGGGATTAGGTGCTACACAGGACATAATCCGATCACAAAAAGCGGATTATAACGCACAATACAACAAAAATTGTGCAACAGAGAGCGAGAGAGAGGGGGAGCTGCAGCCAAAACACCAACAAAAGAGATAGAGAGAGAGGGAGAGTATTGACGTAACTTTAAATTGAGTGGGAGCATAGGCTTATAAGCCTACGGATTGGAGTGGCGGAGTGCCGGGGCAGGGGAGATTCATCTCTCTGGCAGAGTTCCATCCCCACGCCCCTCCCCTCCCCCGCATAAGCCGCAGAAGTCCTGAAAAGCGACAGCCCGACTGACGCTCAATCCGGTACGAGAGACGTAAGCAGATTTTTAAGCTGCGTCAGCTTTTGGCCCACGCCCACGCCCACACCCACACCCACGCCCACACCAATCTTGGATCTATCCATGTACACAGACATATATTGGTTATATGTATATATATATACATGTGTTTTCCTATTCCGATTCCTGCATCACTGCATCTGCGTCACGTGGCAACATACACCCGCGGGCGTTGGAGTCTTACCGGTTTGTGTGTATCTATCTCTAGGCTTGGGGGCCAATCGCCATTTTGGAAAATACTTGTACACATCTCTATCTGTCTGTGTGTGTCTGTGTGTGTGTGTGCGGCTATGTCTGTTGATGTCATGGCCTCCGGGAGCAGGAACAATTGCACCAGGCACAAAAAGAACCGCAAACCGCAGCAGCAGCAGCAACGACAGAAGCAGAAGCAGTGCCAGTGGCTCGGTCTGGGGCTGCAACATCGGCAGCGGCGACGGTGGCTGCGACGGTGGCTTTGGTAAGCTCTGGAGACCATGGAGCCACCGCCACCAGCCCCCCTGACGGACCGACAAAACCACAAACGTCCAAACCAGCGTCGTCTGCAGCAGCCGCTCTGTGCTCCAAAATTCCCGGGGAAGAGACCAGCTCCAGTGCCAGTCCGTTCATTAGTTTGCGGTTTTCTGGTTTCGTTTCATTTCTAGCCCCCCGCATCCTCCCTCCCCCCCACCGAGGGACACATACCCTTTGAGGGGAGTGTAGTAATTACCGTACCTGTACCTGCAACAGGGTCTACGACTACAATCGAAGATGATATAACGATCTAAGCATGCAGAAACCCCTCCAGAGGTTATTATTTCCATTCACGTCAAGGACACATTCGGTGGACTTTCATTTCTCCATTTTTCGGGTGAGAGATCACCAGCTGAATAAATATGCATACCAAATATTTCCCATATTCTTTTCAATCAAGCACAACTCATTAGGTCTTGTTTCTTTGATTATTTAAGTGGCTCGAAAGAAAGAAACGCGTATTTGTCATTGAAGGTTCAAACCTTGAAATCGCACACGCAGGAAGCCCAACAGCTGTTCTTTTATTTGGTTTCTTTCGTCTCTATGGTATACATTCCAATTAATCATTATATATAGCATTTATTAACAGCCGATTCGGTTAAAAGAAAGCCTTGAAGCGAATGTATCCATGGGCTATTCGGTTATGGGAAAGAGACTAGCGCTAGAGCAACAGGATTTTATGGGCAGATTCCCGTGATATCAGACGGACACAAGTGTCCGCAAAAATACAAGGTACAAGAAAGCCGAGAACGTAGAATCGTAAAGAATGATTACCTCTAACAGATTGTCATCTGGTTGTGATTTGTTTAATATACCCGATCAGTGATCAGTGCCTCTCTCAAACCAGTATCGCGCTCTCTAGCGGAGATACAACGGCCTGATGGTGCTTCGTGTGCGGAAGACAGGAAGAGCGAGAGAGTAACGGACATTTCGGTATGGAAAACAGCTCGAATATGGATCATTCGGTTCGAAAAAAGATCGCCAGAGTGCAGGAATATGGATCATAAGATTGAATGGATTGAAGGAACTACTTAATATTGACTGGCATTTGCTCAAGCAAACAGTTGAGCGATCCTAACTGAAGGCCAATCAGGGGATGCCTTACAATCGGCTTTGCACGGGAATTGGGCTACGATCGGGGTAAACATTACACTAAACCCTTCTATCTCTTGACAAGCGCATTTTCCCAAAAGTGATGAGTACGGGGTGGCAGAGTGTCGCGGCACGGGTGCCTTCAACCTTTTCGGCTGGTTATAGTTGAACAAATATTGAAACAGTTTGCCCCGAGCCTGGAATTAATGACAGTCCCATTGCAGTTCCAATGAATCACCTGATGCGGAGGGTGGCACGACACGGCCACAATGGAATCCATAATGATGCCAAATGATGACATTTACTGTGAATATTCTATTTTATTTACACACAAGCACGACGACTACTCGTACTGCTCCTGCAG